ATGCTGCAATAAAGAAATGAAATTGTCTCCTCAGAAGACTTTAAGCAGTGATCCTAAGGCCATTCAGTCAGTATGGGCCGTATTATAATCAGAGTCATTTCATCAGTAAATTAAATCAACCTGAATACCCAAAACTTGAAATTGCATCATTGTATAAATAATACGTTTCGTAGTTTGGTGAAGTTTTGTAGCTGTTTTGAGTTTGTAGTTATTCTGTTCACGATCCCTGTGCTGCTTTTTTAAGGGCAAATAATGACAGTGTCCAGACGTTAGTGCCAGTGTGTCCTGAAACTCCGGGGCTGTACGTGAACTTGCTCACCGCCTCCTTCCCCGTCTTGCCTTCACCATCTCCCCTCCCTCCTGTGCTCTCTCCTCACTCCTCCATCATCCCACCTCCCCCTCCCCCCTACACCTACCCCCCTTTTTTGTCCCCTAGTGTGTCTGGCTAGTGGCTCAGACACTCAGTATCCGCATTGCGTTGCAGTGCTCCTGCGAGGAGGGGAAGAAAAGAGCATATATCAGCAATCTCTGCCCGAGCGCTGCTCTTTTTCTGTACGCACACAAAGAATTGACTCGCCGGCATGTTTTAAATTCTAGAGGAAATGCTACGCACAATAGAGCTGAATGCCAAAAGCTCTTTTATTAACAGAGGAAGATTCTTGCTTGCTATTTGTCTTATTTAAAAATATTTCAAAAATATTTTTTCCATCTGACAACAAGTAATCGTGTTCAGTATAATTGTTTATAGTGATGTTATTCGTATTAGTGGAACAAAGGTTTTCTTTTCCAAGATTCGATTTTAAATTCCCCTGACATTGTGCTTGTCTCTTATCATTGGACATGGGATGTTTGTGTAACAAAGGCAGTTACACTTATGCGATAAACTGTGCAAACAGCCGACTGTTATGTTAGTAAACTATGGAAGCAGAGCCGCAGTGGTGTGGCCACAATGGCCAGGGAGAGTTAATCACCTTTGGGCTTACTGTGGCTTCGCTTTCCCGTGCTGTGTAAAAAGACAAAAAAAAAAAAAAAAATCCACAGACACCGTCTGAGACACTCCTCCCCATCTCCACCAACCCCACCTCCTGTTCCCTCCTCTACTCACACAGATGCATGTGTGCACAGACACACATTTGCGCCTCCCCTCAGAACACATTGACTCTTTCTCCTCCAAATGTTCTAACGGCAAGTTCAAATACAGACACAAACAAACAAACAAACACACCCATGAACAACACGAAAAACACACTGCATCGTGCGTGATGGTGAGACAGGACGTCATGCCTGGAAAAAAAATGAAATGGGCTGAAAGTGGTGGGGAAAGATGAGGAGTGGGGCTGAGGTGGCGGGAGGCAGAGGGGGAGTGTGAAAGAGTATGCTGGCAAAGAAGAGAAGAAGAACAACAACCAATAGCTTGAGATATTTCATGCTTGCATAAGGGTCTCTGTGTGTATGTGTGTGTGTGATATATGTAGGTGACACAGATTTATGAAGAGAGAGGGTCAGAGATGGAGACGCTGTTGGTGGTGGTTGGGGGTTGGAGTGGTGGGTTGTTGGTACAGCACCAGATAATAGAATCAATGCCATTGTCTATGTGTGTGTGTGTTTGTACATGAAGTGTTACCTGCCACATATACACTGCTTGCCTGGACTCTTAATTGCCTGGAGAATCAGTGATGTGACTTGGCAGAGGGAAAACAGGCACAAAAAGCGAGCCAGGGACAAGCGCCTGAGTGAGGGATAGAGGAAGAGGAGAGACAAAAAAGAGAAGAAAGAAAGAGAGAGAGAAAAAGAGAGAGAGAGAGAGAGTGAGAGAGAGCGATGAAGGGGTAGAGAGGGGAAATGGGTTTTCTGTTCGCCTCGCGTTCAGCAGTCAGACAGGAGGAAGACTGGAAATGGGGTAGGATAGGTTTTATCATGCGTTACTTTCATTACCACTGGATTAATTGATGTTTTTTCCTGTCTCTCAGGGGGAAGAACGGGTCAATAACTCATCGTAAGAGTGAGTTGTGTTTCATTTGAGTGTGTGTGTGTGTGTGTGTGTGTGTGTGTGTGTGTGTCTGTACTTGCTCATGCACTTGTTGTATGCATGTGCACACAGAAATGAGTACATGAGCATGTGTGTGTTCATGTGCGGATTACCACTTGACTGTATTAAGACAACTAATGAACTATCCAAAATGTCCTGTCGCTGTCTTCCCTTTCATCTGCGTCCATTCTCATATTTCCCTTGGTTTAACATTATTATAATTTCTAACAAGAATATTTTACTCCATTCCCCCCTGATACAGTGGTCTTTGTCTGTGGTGCTTGACAGAGCAGCTGAGCAGCTCATAAAACTGGGACAGAGGCAAATATCTCAAAGCACACAGACAAAGAGGAAACACAGAGGCAGAAAAAGCTCCATGTGCCGTGTTCCTTTGTGTCGCTGCACATTTGGTTGTACGTTTGTGTTCCTAGTTACAGACAGCAAGTCGAGGACATGGTCTGGATCAACGTTGGACATCTAGCAGTTGTCCAATAAAATCTGTCAATGTCTGCGTCGACTGTCGCAAAAGAAGCTTTTAGCCTTGTATCAGTTGTTTGAACTCCAGCTGATGTTCTTCATGTTTCATCTGCCATGTCATAATCCTGTGATGTTTATTTTCTCTGAGCTGAGAGAGTAAATCAGTGTGAGTCCCTTCAAGTCTGAATGTCTTGGGGAAGTGATTGCATAATCATATCATATTATAAGGCCTGTATTGAAAATGTGGGATGATGTTTTAGTCTGTTACCAATAGCACAGTTAGCTGTGGACGTTTCTCGTACACAGACGCAGACAGACTATTAAACTGCATTTTGTGTCTGTAAACTAAGTAAGGACCACTGCATATGAGCCCTTCGCTCAGACAGGTTTGAAGCCCTTATGTTGGTCTAAAATGCAAAGCCTGATGTATACCTGAAGTTCGAGGATTTTCCACTGCGTACATATCCGTCCTCGGGCATTTCGTCTGTCTGTCTTTCTGTCTGCCAGCAGGGGGCATTTTCTTTGAGTGTTTTACTGCACAGACTGGGGCGGAATCACACGCACTGGCTATATCAGAAAGAAAGAAAGAAAGGACCTTTGAAATGTGAAACGAATGCTACCAAAATTAAAAATGATTTGTTGAGAAATGTATTTTAACATTGATTTCTTTGTCTCTTACAGGCTGTGATCCGGTTAAGATTCAGAAGACGTGTCAAGACGAAAATATATCATGTCGCACCGCATCGTCATAGACGCAGACAAAACCCATTAATAGTGGCGTACAAACTGGCTCGTATAATTCAGGTGTTTAATATTTTGATGCAATTCTAATTCCCACATGATTTTATATTTAATGTAGATTCAAGTTTTTTTTCCTGAGGAAATCTTTTAACATTGTGACAGTGTCTGTCCACGTTGGTGTGTTTCATTGTCCCTGAGACCCTTAACCTGTGATGATATGAAAGGTCACAGGTGAGGTCCTTGGGAACAAAGGAGCCCACAACAACTTCTGAATGCCACAACAGTTCTTGTCGTTAGACTTTACCAGACAACACGTCAGCGTCTTTACCTGAGATCGTGACGTTATTACAGAAATGCATGACAGATCGCAGTGAAACTGCAAAATGTCTCTAATACATGATGTCATCTGAAAGAATTTAGAAATTTCCAGAAACTGCCAAGACAGTGGTTTCCTGTAGGGGGCAGTACCTTTTGGCGGACTTTGTGAGACACATATAATCAATGAGAAGACTGCCAATGGTCGTGACCCCGACGAATGATTCACCTGGGAATGATTCTAGGCTTGTTCCATAAAAGGATTACAGTGCAAATCTGTTCATTTAACAAATGGGAAAAATTAGGGGAAAAGATGATCATATGAAGAGTGTTTATTAGGTATAGATTCAATTATTATAAATTATTGGAATAATGCTTAATTTTATAATGGTCTGTGGCTATGAATTAACTTTTTTATTTTGAGACACTGTTAAAACATTTGAATAAAGTGTTTGAAAAGTGTTATCTTGCATTTGATTAATTAGATAAACTAGGTTTTGTACCTGAAAGATTGACATGATATCAAAGAAGAACGGATTAAAATGATTCTGCAGTCTGCTCCAAAGTCACACTTAACTGACCACTTAACAAACCCCAACCATTTCCAGGTGAATACATAAAAACTGTTGTGGTCTGTTCTCAGACTCTGGCCTTGACACTCAGCCACGATGGCTCAGTGTTCCCTGGCCCTCAGCCCTCCTTATGTTTGTGCATCCCAGGACGGTTGACATTGATTATGCTGGAGATAGACTGAGACGCATTAGTACCCAGCTCGGGACTGCCGCTGAAAAACACATTAACCGGCTACATTGGGAGCCCTGTCTGGTAACCATGGCAAAGCACACAGAGGGGAGGAGGGAGGATGGAGGGGTGAGTCGGGGCAACGGGTTCAGAGCACAGTCTCTCAGGATTTGTCTTTCTCAAAGACTCCTTTCCTTTGGCCATGTCTGTCATTTTCCCTCAGCCTCTGCTGTTAAAGCGACAGCCTCCCACTCTCTCTCCCCGCACTCACATATAAATACATATTTCTGTCTCGTCTCCTGCATTCCTGTCATTGATGGTGACCCCATCACTCTGGCCACATCTCATACTCTGTCACATTGTCCTCTTTTACCCTTTCCCTTTTGTTCTCTTTCCATTATAGTTTCGGTGGTGAGCTAGTTAAAATGGACAATCCATTTACAATATACACAGTTTAATGTGTACAATCTCTATACTTTTTTATGTAACAGAATGATAATTTAAGTACTAATGAATTTATTATTTCTTGAAAGATATAAAAACTTTGGTTCAAACTGATTATAAGTATTGAGATTCCCTCTAATGGGATTTGGTCCCAAGTGCATTGTTCATGGACCTGCTTTTTCATACTTTTGCAGAGTAAAAGAGTTATACCTGTAGGTGGCAGTAATACGCTACATACCCACTGGTACAGGCCCTGGTTGAACTAGGAAAGAGTCGTTTAAGTTACATAATAAGCAGTACGAGCTCTTTCCCGAAAGTATGCAGTGTTACTTTGTGGGAGTACTCCACTACATCAACTGGATGACAGTGAGTTTTTGCATATTTATTTTTTTTCAACTGGCAGTCTTTGCAATATTCAACTTAGTTTCTACAATGTGGAGTTTTTGCTGTCATGTCGAAAACACCCCACAATTATTATTGCTTTAAATAGACAACACCAAGAGATTTTATAATTTTGTTGTTTTTAGATAAAATGCGTGTTGAAATGTGAGTGAAATGTGTTTTTCACTTACATTTTCTGTTATAATAAATGATTAACGTCCATCTATCTATACACACACGTACACAGACATACATACATACATACAGACGTACATAGCGGCGACATTGTGTCGATTGATATGTGGTTTTAATATCGGGTACAGATGGGGAACGAAGTGTTGGCTCTACTAGTTCCTATGGAGCCGCTTAACCTGGTGAGGAGCGGAAGTGGTCACACATTTTAAACATCCAGCATAACCTCAAGTGGCGCGCTTTCATCTCATCTGCTACCACATAAACCAGTCTTCGGTTGAAAACCAAAACAGATACAATCTGTAAGGAAGACTTATTAAAGGTGAGTTTTACTGTCACTCATACGTGTTGATTTATCATTTTGAGCGGCTCGCGTCCGTCTGCCTACGTCTGCTTTGGTTGTGACTATTTCCTGGGTATCAATCTGCTTCAAAGTCCTGATGTTTTTAAAGCCTTACGTCTGATTAAATTAGGCCTGTTACTAGTGCAGAAATTTATTTTTTCGGTTCGTACGATTAAAAAAAACAGCACACCGTCAAAAATGTGAATTCAACCTAACATCTGGAAAACTATTATTTCGCGTCGATGGCGCACATGCTAATGTTCAGTAAATAGATACAGCCGAATAAACATACCCTGTGAATACCGTTTACAAAATACAAAAATTGACTGAACCCATACTCATAAATTTCTAAGTTACACGAGAAACGCGAGTTGGATTATTTGCCACTATACCGGCGACATAATAACTAAACACTCGTTCCGTCTTGGGGTTATCCTGGAAATAAAAAAACAAAACACTTTTACTCTTGAATTAGTATGGGAAAATGTAGGAGGAAAAAAGATAAAATTAATTCTGTTTTAGAACAAAAACTAATTGTGATTTTTAAAAGGTATTTAGTACTTTTAATGTTGTATTTTTAATACTGTGTAGGTCTGCGGGGCGGAACGAATTGTTTGCGCTTTTGTTTCCTCTACAGCCGATAAGATGAGCAGAAGTAGTCACAAATTTAAACAGCTTACACAATAACAAAAGAGGCGTACGTTCGGCTCTCTGCTATCGCGTGAGTCAGTATTCAGTTGAGAACAAAAAATAAGGAAGGCTACTTAAAGGTGAGATTTGCTGTTATTCAGTCTCACCGTTTTATCAGCGTTTTGCGACTCGCTTTTGTTCGCCTGTTTCGGTTGTGACTATTTCCTGGAAATCATTCTCCTACGTAGTAATCTTGTTTTTAAGGCCGTAGGTCTGATTCAGTTGGGGTTATTACTGATGCAGCTATCTATATTTTGGGTCCGTACGATTTAAAAACAAAATTAACAGCACATCGTAAACTGTCTAAATCCATTAATCATCAGATAAATATGAGTTATTGTTTTCGGCGTCTTGGCGCCATGTTGCTTATCTCTAGGTAACCGTAGCTGCAGCTTCCCGCCATTTAGTAATTTTTTTTACCCTCTGGAAAATAGATGTAGCCGAGTTAATCTACTATGGTAATCTACGGAAGTTGACTGAATTTAACTGCGAAAATAAAAATATATATTAAACGCGACAGTACGAATATTGCGGTTTAGGTTGAACTTATTGTTCCCGCACTATAGCAGCAGAGAGGACGGAGACAAAGACTGTACAAATTACAGCAACTAGATCTAAACGAAAACAATTCACATTTTATAAGTTATAACTATTATTATCGGAGATTTTGCCGTACTATTTGCAATATAATTTACATATACAAAAACATTTTCCCTTTTTATGGATTTTTTGTTTTTGCTAAGCTGTAAAAAAAAGTTTAATTTTACATTTAATTGGTATAAAATTATAGGAACACATGTAAGATTATGTATTTTATTTTTAAATGTGATTTACAAATACTTAGTGGGATTTTAATATTGTGTACATGTGTATAAAAAGCTTTAAAACCTTAACACTTCTTTAAGTTTGATTAATGTCAATCAATCCACAACTTACAATGCATTTAAACACTTGCTTAATTTGGAATTTTTTTTATACATGAACTAATTAAATATTTGTTGCTGTTTATTTCAAGGTGTTTTTAACAAATGAGCTGAAACCATGGAAGAGGAGGTGAAGATGTCTAGCAATGAACAAGGGGGTGATTTAAGCAAAGATGCTGTGTCTGATACTGACAATACCCCTGCTTTAAAAGGAAAGGAGAAATCACAGGGTTCAAGGAGGCTGAAGGGTGGTGACCCTGACAAAGTTTCAGAGATTTCAAATGGTGTGTCTAATGTGCCCAAGAAAGGAAGAGGACGTCCGAAGACGAAAACAGTGGAAGATAAATCAGGAGAGGGCCATGATCAAACTGACCAGGATAATGCGAGCAATAATGAAGAGAACACGCAGGAAAAGCCTCTCAGCACATCTGGAGAAGACGTGGCAAATGGTAGCTCTGGACCAAAAGCAGGAAGGGGTCGTCCAAAAGGAACCTCAAAGCGCAAGTCAAAAAGTTTAACACAAGATGGAGATGGCGCTCCTTCCCAACCAATAAAAAGAGGCCGACCAAAAGGATCTCCAAATAAGACACCTCGACTGGTGGCTGAGTTGGGCACTGATATCAAGGTTAAAACTGATGGAAGTACAAACCTGACAAGTTCAAGAGGTCGAATCAGGAAGATTCGGGTACCATATAGTGGGGCACCGCAAATTTCCAAAAAAAGTCCCAGAGGAAGGGGAAGACCACGAAAAATTGTTGAAGATGAAGATGATGATGATGACGACGATGAAGATGATGACGACGACGATGAAGATGACGATTCTTACCAGACAGTCAAAAGAGCCAGAGGTCGACCTAAAGGATCTAAAAAGAGCAGCAAGTCCCAAGATCGTGTAACGGCAAAGAAAAAGCGCAGTCAATCAAAACAAATGACAGTCAAGAGAGGAAGGCCTAGAAAACATCCCTTACCCACACCAGAGGAGTTGAAGAAACCAAAAGTATGGAAGCCACTGGGCCGTCCGAGGAAGTACCCACGGGTCGATCCTCCAGAAGGTGCGTCATCGCCTGTCCGCAGAGGCCGCGGCCGTCCACGCAGGGCTGAATCAAAGAAAGGTGCTCACTTGCACACGCATTCGTCTAAGGGTCCAGTGTCATTGCGCAGTCCAGCTGATGGAGCCCCGAAAAAAAGAGGCAGACCACAACTTTCTGCAAAAAACCCAGATGTCACTTCACGGAAAAGAGGTCACCCCAAAAGCTTGCCCAGCAAAGAACATAAAGCAGGTGGTTCATCAGCAAATGAAGGAGAACAGGAGATGCAGATAAACAACAGCAAGCCCAGCGAAGATGCTGACACAGTTGAGAAACAGGACACAGACATCCAGGCTTGATAATAGCTCAGGTCTCACCAAAAAGTTGTAGTTGTAGGGTAGTTGCTGTTTAAAAAAAAGAGAGAGTACACTCTTTGTATGTGCAAACACGTTTTTAACATTTTTGTCAGAGTAGATGTCCAGCAGCTCCTCTGTTTTTAAACTAACACGTTGATCTGGTTTAAATGTGTTCAATTATGTTTTTCTAAAGCAGATCTTTTTCTGTCTTCTGGGCAAGTAGTTCTTCTAATCTTCTCCAAATGGCATGTAGAGTGGTGTTCTAGACTTTCCAGTTTTCATTTAGATTTTAAATGTAGACTATTTTAGTTTTGAATGTTACAGAAACAGTGCTTAAGAATGAAAGAAAGAAATGTCTTTTAGCTTCTCCCTATATCCACTTCTTTGAATGGCATGTGTTTCTTGCAAAGTCCAACAGTCAGTGCCTCCATTTTAAATTGTTTATTTCTATTGTTTTCAAATTACATCAACTTTTTTACTGGATAAGTAGGGAATGGAGCGTGTGTTTTGCCCGCAATAGACTAAATTTACATTACATTTGCAATGTAAGACATTTGGCTAACTAGCTTACTGGAACCAACCAATTTGTGCCATGTACACCAGCATGATTACATTTTTCATGCTTTTTTTTTTAAATTGGTGTTTTAAATTAGTGTTTCTCAGCCTTTCTAGAGCAACAGCGCATATTCTACACTGGAAGAATTTCACGGCACACCAGCAAACAAAATTGCCACCAAAGGTACATGCAATAAAATAGACGGATCTTTTAGTTTCAGTTTACACACAATTTACTTGTTTAGTTGAACAAGACAAGACTGCTTTGTTTTAATTTTTTCACAGAGATGTTCTGTCAGAGTTTCCAGCCAACGCCCCAGATAGCATGCCGTTCTGGTCTCTAAAGTCTAAGGATAAGCAGCGGTTACAGAGCCCTCGGTTGGATCATGGTAAAGCCTATTATCCAAGTGTATACTGAAAGGTTTAATGGTTCTTAATTTAACAGCTGATACTGTTGAAATCCTTTCTCATCACCAACAGTTATTTTGGGCAGTAAATTAATTTGAGTGTTAAATTGCTGCACTAAACTGGTTCTATGGGTTAACTTAAATAGTTTTTGGCAGTGACCTGTACCACGTTTTTTTTTTACGTTCAAGTCAAGAGAACCTTAAAATTTGACCACTGAGCAAGAATGTTCCACATTGAGACTTTACATTTTGAAGTTTTTCCTCAAATTTTTAGTTTTTTTTTCTCAAATTGTGATGTTCAAAGATTTTGAACGAAGAATTGTTTATTGATGCTATTTCACTTTTGTGTATCGACCTTAATCGTTTCATCTTTTAATGTATCTTGTGTTTTTTTTTTGTTTTTTTTTGTATTATTATTCTGCATCAGTACAGCAGAAACAAGTGTCCATTAAAACATGCATTCCTGGATTGGAAGGAAAGCTTGGTTGAATGACAATTTAATTGTGTTTGAAAGTAACTGTGACAGCTTGTATTTCCTGATTTGCGGCCCACAAGATGATTGGTATTCTATTAATTTCACAAAAATAATTTTAATTGCTTTTGTGCACCTGGTGTTAAAAAACATGTGCCATCATAATGTATGGTGAGGGAGAGGTTCAAGCCAATGCCAAATTCTTAATTCTCTGCTGTCCATTTTCTGTTGGTAGAAAATTTGAGATAATTAAAATGGGGAAAAAAATGGAAAATTTGTTTTTAGTGGGAATATTTGGTTCTTATGTGTGTTTTGAGCAAGAATTTTAAAAACATTTTGAGTTAATGGTCTTGAAATAAATGTATTGTTTTTAACAGTCTGGTCTAAAAATAATTCTGTGTGTAACATGTCCCCATATCACATTTTATTTTAAAACATCACCAAAATATAATGACAGCACGTGTTTGTCAATTGTCATAATACAC